TTGCTCACCAGGTTGTGCCAAGAAATCTGGAGGACAACTACTTGGCCAACTGACTAGAAGAGATTCATATTTATTCTCATTCCAGAAAAGGTGATCTGACAGAGTGTGAAAATTGTACAATATCACTAATATCACGTACAAGCAAAATTCTGCTGAAGGTTATCCAGAAAATCCAGAACTGTACATTGATGAAGAAGTATCAAAAATACAAACTGGAGTTAGAAGAGGTCTTGGCACTAAAGACATAATCACCAATTCCAGATGGATCTTTGCAGAAAGCAAAGAGTACCAGAGGGATATCTATCTGTGTTTCATTGATTATTCAAAGACGTTTAACTGTGTGGACCACAACAAATTGTGGTTAACCTTGAGGAGAATGGGAATCCCAGAACATTTGATGTGTTCATGTGAAACCTATACTTGGACCAGGAAACAATCCTCAGAACAGAACAAGGAAATGCTACATGGTTCAAAATCAGGAGGAGAGTGCATCAGGGATGTGTACAGTCTCCATACCTTTTCAATCTATGTGCAGAACAGAATAGGACATTCGAGAGGCTGGGCTTTATTCGGAGGAATGTGGTATCAGGATTGGAGGAAGACCCATCAACAACCTACATGATGCAGATGATACAACCTTGCTTGCTGAAACTGAAAAGGACTTGAATGGCTTGCAGAAGGTCAAGACTATAATCTTCAATATTAATTGAAGATCAACATCAAGAAGACAAAAATTTTCACCACTGGGCCAATTGACAGCACCATAAATAATGGAGGAGAAATTGAAGTTGTTAACAGTTACAAGCTTGCTCGGCTCCACAGTCAACATTCTTGGCATCAGCAATCAGGAAATCAAAAGAAGAATTGCATTAGGTAAATCTTTTGTCAAGGGCATCTCCAGAGCACTGAGAAACAATGATGTCAGTCTAGAGAATAAAGTGCCCTTGATCCTGGCCTTGGTTTTCGCAATTACTTGCTTTGCATCAAAGAGCTGGACAATGACTAAGGATGACAGAAGAAAATTGATGTCTTTGAGTTGTGGTGCTGGAGAATAGTCTTGAATATACTATGGACAGTAAAGGAAACAAATAGGTCTGTCTTGGAAAAGGTGAAACTAAGTCTCTTCTTGGAAGTAAGGATTTTTAATCTCTGCCTCACATGTTTTAGACACATGGCTAGGGAAGACTGGTACTTGGAGAAGGATGTCATGCTCACTAGGATGAAGTGAGAGTTCAGGAAAAAGACAACGTTGGATGAGAAGGATTAATAAAGTGGGGTCATGGAGATAGATTTGTCGGTGTTAATGAGTCTGGCTATGGAAAGGGCAGACTTCAGAGCTGCTGTACACAGTGTCACTATGAGTTGCTGATGACTTGATGGCACACAACAATGACAATATTCCAAATATTCTAGCTAGTTTTGAGACTTATTCAATCTCAGACGCTATATTTCTAGTACTTTACCTACAGATACAATTTTCATTTATCGTTGTATTGCATCTTCTGTCTTGGAGAGCAGTCAGAATCACTTCATTGTGGAGTACTATCAAATGAAGACCTTACAAATCATATGAGAACATTTTTGTAGCTTCTTAACTTAGATACATTACTAGGAGGAATCAAAGGGAAGGAAATATTATGTTTGCTGAAACAGACACAGCAAGGGTGAAGGAAATCTTCTATGATACGAATAGTCATGATGATTACAAGATAAACTCAAATATGTTTCCTATCTTGAAGGTAATAAAGAATAAAACAATGTTGTGTTTCGTTGTGCATAAAGTAATGGTGAATTACTGTATGTTGCAATGAGTAGAAGTGCATTTCATAGCAGATATTTAGATCTCTATTTACGGTTGTTGTCAGGTGCCCTTATATTGAGTCTGACTCATATCAAGTCTATAAAAAATAGATCTGAACCTTGTCCTCTCCTGTGCCATCTTCACCATTTCTGATATACTTGAGCCCATTGCTGAAGTCACTGTTTCAATGTATCTCATCAAAAGTCTTACTTTCCTTCAGTGACCTTCCATCTTTCCAACAATATCATTCTCCAAGGAACAGACTCTTCCAATGTGGTGCCTAAAGTATGTAAGCTGAAACTTTGTCATCACAGCCTCCAAGGAGTATTTATGCTTCATCCTCTACTAGACATCTGCTTGTTCTTTTGGCAGGCCATGGGATACTCAATATTGTTATCCATCACCACAGCTCCAAGCCATCAATTCTTTTACTGTTAATCTTTTTTTATTATGTAGCTTTCAGATGCATAACAAGTTATTGGAAAGACCATTGCCTGAATCAGGTGCACCTTATTCTTCAAACGGACTTCATTTTTCTTCAGAATTTGGAGAGGCTCTTGAAAACAAACTTTCCAAAAGCTGCATGACTCTTGATCAGGAGATCAAATAATATTTATTTATTCAAAACTACCTATATTCATAACTATTCACAGGTTTAATTTTACTTTAATCATGGAAGAAGTTAGTTATTTCTTTGGAAAAGGTAGAGTGGCAAAAGGAAATCTGAGTGAGACACATATATTTGACATATATGTGTCTGCTGGTACCAAGAAATTGTGGATCCCAGTAAATGATACCATTGGCAACTTCAATATTTTCCTCATATATCATGAACCTGATTGTCAATCTAGTGATGAGGAATTTTGTTTTCTTGATGTTGACATGCAATCCATATTGAAGGCTATAGTCTTTCACCTTCTGCAGTAAGCATTTCAGATGCTCCTCACTTTCAGCAAGAAAATTTGTTTCATCTGGATGAGTCTTTCATTCTGATCCCACAATCTTCTTCATAGAGTCCAGCTTCTCAAATTATTTGCTCATGGTACAGGTTGAATATGTATGGAGAAAGAATATAACTCTGACTCATACTTCTTCTGATTTTACACCACATAGTGCCTAGTGGCAAGAAGATACGTTGCAATCTCTCTTCAGGTCAGAAGGCACACAGAAATTCCTGTGATCTGGTACAAAATATTTCAATGTTACTATGATATTCTGCAGAGAGTGGTTTTTTGTGCTTGATAAAAGAGAAAGATTAGGAAATATTTTTCAAAGTGTAGTTTTCACAATTACATGTAGAAGTGATTTTCAGAAGAACATTTGTAAATGTGTTTCATTTTATAAACAGAAGCTAATTAATCACTCAGAAAAATTATGTAATAGTTTTAAATGTTCTAGTGAAACAAAATTTGAGGACGAAGGTGCATATAGTTCAAATCATGGTATTACATATTACTTGCTATACATCTGAGAGCTGGACAATGAATAAGAATGATAGAACAATTGATGTCTTTGAGCTCTGGTATTGAAGAATACGGAACATCCCATGGACTTCCAAAAGAACAAACAAATATGTCTTATGGAGGGTATAATCAGAGTGCTTTTTGGAGGTAAAGATAATGAGGTTTTTGCCTCATATAATTCAGAGATGTTGCTAGGAGCTATTTTTTGGAGAAGGACATGATGCTCTGAAACCCTTGAGATCCTAGATCAAGTAGACTGACATGGTGACTGCTGTAATGTTTAATATATCAGAAGTGTAAGGATGGCACAGGATAGGACAGAGCACAGATCTGTTGTTCATAAGGTAATTATGGGTCATACTCAACTCAACAGCACCTAAAAACAACAACAATGAATTAAATGTAAAACCATTACATTAAGAATCTAATATTTGCATTGTTTTATTTTATTACATTATCTTATAAAGGAAATTAATATTTAACATCAATTTATTACCAAAAAATTCAAATTTTTATATTAAAACCAGTGTCCAAGAATATCTTTAAGAGTAAGTTTACACTCATTTAGCAAGTGGTTAAAATTTGGGTGCCTAGAAGAAATTGCAAGAAGTACTATTATGATAAAAATCTTGGATTACAATTTATTTTACTATCTACTTAATGCCTTTAAACCGTACACTATTGAAATACACTGAAAACATTAAGAATCTTTTTTCACACAGGCATGGGATACATAATAATGGAAAACCCATTGTAGTTGGATTTCTTGGCTTTTATATACCTCTCCAAATTGAATTTCTAATTCTTTGAGTACTCAAATATTGTCTAAATATCTGAGAGTTTATTTTTTGTTTTACTAAATGAACCATATAGTCAGTTCTTTTATTGCCAAGGTTTGAGGCACAGATTTTATGATTTCTTTGTCTTGCTATTTATTAGCTATTTATATTGTCATGTTTGGAAATCTATTATAGGGGCTAACTTATTCATGATAGCACTATACCCAGAAAAAACTCTAACTATTGGTTACTTTAAAATTATTTTCCATATATAAGCTTGCAGATACAATTTTTTATAATCCATTTTAAGTCAATACCCAAGAGTAGTACAAAATAAATGTTTATTTATTAAATTCATCTGTTGATGTACAAAGTGATGGGCTTTTATTAATTAGTCCATTTAACTGAAGGAGGAATACTGCTTCATTGAACAGACATATCTTTCTCTTCCTAGCCTTTCATCTCTCTTTGACCTAGGGTTAAAATTAAGACATAAGTTATGTAAACATTAAGAAGAAATATTGCACAAATCTGTTCCAATTTGTTTTCTCTTTGACTGCCTTGTACCGCCTGTTTTCTTTGATGGTATGCAATAGCATTCTTAAACATAGTAGGTATGGAATAAATTTTTATTCTTTTTTCATTTTTTCTTTTTGTGTGTGTGTACCATCAAATCAGATCTGACAGGTACAGGAAGAGATTGCCCCTCCTTTTCCGACAGAGCATCTGGTGGATTCGAACCATATATCTCTGGGATTGCAGTGCAGCTTCTTGCCACTAGGCCACCAGAGCTCCCCTGGAATAAATATTTGCGTGATAAAAAAAACCAAAACCTAAAAAAAGAAAGATGTTTATTTTATATTGTAACAATTTGATAATAAATTGTCAATACTTACAATTTGATGCATATTTGGAAATTCATTCATAAACATAATATTTTGTTGAATTCTAAACTGTTTACATGTTTCTGGTCAAGAGAAATCTCTTTCGTGCTATAGTTTTGCTGAAAGCTTTCTTCACATCTTTGTTTCTCAGTGTGTAGATGAAAGGGTTTATCAGTGGAGTGACCACACAATAGAATACTGACACCACTTTACCCATATTGAAGTTGTAGGAGGCTGGAGAGCGAACATAGGCAAAGATGATGGTACCATAATAGATAGCTACCACAGTGAGGTGAGAAGCACAGGTAGAAAAAGTTTTCTTCCGAGCCTCCCGGGAAGACAGTCTGATTATTGTGAGTACAATGTGCCCATAAGAAGACATAGTGAGAAGGAAAGAACTCAGAATCACCAAGGAGGTACATGTATAACCCAAAGCCTCCACCACAAATGTATCTGAGCAAGAGAGTTTGAAAATGGGATCTGAGTCACAGAAAAAGTGGTTGATCTTCTGGGGTCCACAGAAGTTGAGAAAGCAGATAAGTATGGTAGGGGGAAGTGGGGCAGCGAAGCCCCCTATCCAAGATCCAGTTGAGAGACGCAGGCATATCTGAAGACTCATGAGGAGTGAGTAACGAAGAGGGTTGCATATTGCTAAATACCGGTCATAGGCCATTACAGCCAGAAGGATGCACTCAGTAGCTCCCATCGAGAAGAAGAAATAGTACTGAGTTATACAACCAGTAACAGAGATGGTCACAACCTGTGACAGGCAGGTGGACAGTAATTTGGGCACTGTGGTCGTAGTATACCAGATCTCCAGAAAGGATAAGTTTCCTAAGAAAATGTACATAGGTGTCTGGAGAGTGGATTCCATTAGAACAATGAAAATTATGAGTGTGTTTCCCATGAGAGAGAGGAGATATACAATGAGAAACAGCACAAACAATGTGAGCCGCAACTGGGGATCTCCAGATAATCCAAGAAAGATGAACTCTGTTACTATAGTTTGATTTGTACCATCCATATTTCATCTTCTTTGATCTGGAATGAATTAAAAAAACAACAACAACAACAAAACCAACAACACAAATAAAACCATGAGGTAGAAGGTGAGCAGGAGCAGTGTTTGATTTGTCTTACATACCAATGATGAAAGAATAAGATAAAATAAAATAAAACAAGTTGTTATTGAGTCAGTCTCACTCATGATAACTTATGCACACCAGAGTAAAATTGTGCTTCAAGATTTACAATGCCTGATTTTTCAGAAATAGACAGCTACACATTCCTTCCAAGGCATCTTTCATTAAATTGATGATAACAAAATGTTTAACCATATCCACAACCCCGTAACTCTTCAAAATGATAAACAAACCCTAAGCAAACTTGTTGCTATGTATGGGATTGATTACACTCAGGTTGACCCTTTGAATACACAGTAGAACGTCTCTATAGATGTTTGTATGGTGCAATCTTTAAGGAGACACATCACCAGACTTTTCTTCCATAGAGTTGTAGTCTTAATTTGAGCCTTAATACTCTTGATTAGCAGTCAAACTCAAACCATTTATCAGGCCAAAGAATCTAGCCAATAACAATGCTTTTGTGGTTAAGTACCAGTAAGGCAGAAACAACTCATAGCCAATCCTTCAAACGATTTTCATAGACTCTAAATATCATGGAAGGAGATTGTCCATGAGCCTCTTGTGCAACAACTGAACGAATTTGCCTTTGGATTTACAGCACAACCTGCAAATAGACCACTAAAAAATAACAGTTGACAAAAAAAACCCTGTCGCTAGAAAAATCGCCCAACTTGGATTATCTTCTTTCATTTTCAAAATCAATCCGCCAGGTACTATATATGAAAAGTACAATTCTGGTAGCCAAGCAAAACTTCATCTCAAATACTTTGGGCTTATTTTCAGGAGGCATGTTTCACTACCATTGTCTCTCAGAAGCAATCTGGTTGTACTTCCTCCAAAACAGATTTGCATATTATTCTCTTGGAATTCCGTGGGATATTCACCATTCTTTGCCAACACTACAATTCAAATGCTATAATTATTTTTTAGTCATCCCTATTCATTGACCATCTTTAAGATATATAGGAAGCAATAGAAAAGATCATGACTTTGACAAGGTGCTGTTGTTGTTGTTATGTGCCATCAAGTTGCTTGTGACTCATAGCAACCCTAAGTGCTATAGCCCTAAACTTTGCACTATCCTATGCCAATCTTTTTGCCTCTGACACACCCATCCCGATTACCCCAGTGATGGAACCAATCCGTCTCATCGAGGGTCTTCCTCTCCTGAGCTGTCCCTGCACCCTCCCAAGCATGACGTCCCTCTCCAAGGACTGGTCCCTCCTTGCAACATGTCCAACGTACGTCAGACGAAGCTTCAGAATACTTGCCTCCAAGGAGCAGCACGGCTTCACCCTCTCTAGTACCTTAATATTTAAACTGACATCTTTGCCATTTATCACTTTGAAGAGGTATTTGACTGAAGATTTTCCTAGGCCATACAAATTCTGATTTCTGGATCGCTGCTATCATGGATGCTGATTGTGAACCCAAGCAAAATTAAATCCTTAACAACTTCAATATTTTCTCTTGCACTGCAATCTGAAGACACGTCGTTCGAGTCCACCAGCTGTTCTACGGGAGAAGGATTGGCAACTCTTCCTGTGTGATTCACAGCCTCTGCAAACCTGCTGGATGGTGGGTCAGCTATGGGTTGATTCAGACTCTACTGTACACAACAATAATTTCATGTTAGTTAACAGTGGAACTCCCTACACACTATGCCGCCAGAGGTCCCTAAATGAAACATTAGTTCAGTGGTATTGATGATTATGAAATTCTGAATATAATCTCTGTGAGTGCTTTAAATCAGAAAACTGTGTTCTCTCCTGAGCCAACAGCAATGACCAAGAGAGAAGCAATGCTCAATTGTTTTTTATACATCAGAAAGGAGGAAAAAATAAAAAAGAGTGACAGAGAAAGAATCTGTGCCTTTGGATTGTGTCTCTGGCAAAGAATATTGAATGTATTATGGACTGCCAGAAGAATCTCTCTGAGACAACTTCAATCAGAGTACTTTTTAGAGACAAGGATGAGGTAACCAGTCTTTGAAAAAGGACATCATGTTAGCAAAGTCACAGAGTCAGCAAAAGAGAAGAAGACTGTCCACAGAGTCAGTTGACACAGTGTCTGACACAGTGGGCTTGCACATGGTAGTAATCACAAGGTCTATGCAGGACAGGGTCAGATTCATCAGATCTATTGTTCATGTAGTTGTTGTTATGTGCCATCAAGTCATTTGTGACTCATAGCGACCCTATGTACAAGAGCCCTAAATGCCATTTTATCCTGTGCCAACCTCGCTGTCTCAAACACATTCATTCCCACCACTCCACTCACAGAATCAATCCATCTCATCGAGGGTCTTCCTCTCCTGTGCCATCCCTCCACTCTCCCAAACATGATGTCCCTCTCTAAGGACCAGCCTCTCCTTGCAACATGACCAAAGTATGTCAGACAAAGCGTCAGAATCCTTGACTCCAGGGAACATTCTGGCTTCACCCTCTCCAGGACAAACCTGTTCTCCTAGCAGTCGATGGTATATTCAACACTCTTCTCCAGCACCACAACTCAAAGACATCAATTCTCTTTCTATCATCCCTATTCACTGTCCAACTCTCCAATGCATAGCATGTAATTGCAAAAACTATAGCCTGGATCAGGCACACCTTGGTCTCCAGCCTGATATCGTTGCACTTCAGTACTCTTGAGAGGTCCCTCACAGCTGACTTTCCCCAATGCAATTCTTCTCCTGATTTCCTGGCTTCTGTTACCAAGAGTGTTGACTGTGGAACCAAGTAAACTAAAACTGTTAACTTAATTTCTTCACCATCCACACTGATGCTACCAGTTGGCCCAGTGGTGAGTCACTAAAACTACTAGTCAGCTTGACAGCACCCAACAACATTTCATCAACATTTCTACTTAAAATTTATCTCATTAAAATGTCAAGTAAGACTAGTATGATCTGGAGATATTTTGGGTGTACCACAGTGTTGACTTTTAGATACTAATTCCTTCAAATTATTAAGGATTTTACAGTTTTTCTCTGAGAAATAAAAATGAAATTGTACTGTTTGTAGTAACCATCTCTATTCAAAATGGGAAAATTCGTATTATGACTTACAAACTAGCAATTAAAAAAAAACACTGCATAAAAAAGCTTGCATTATACATAAAAACTATTTTGTTGATTTTGTTTTCTGATTTCTTAAAGAAACAAATTTCCATTTACCTGATTCATGTGACACTGAGGGTTCAAGATGATTCTCACTCTTTTGTAAAAAGAATATTTATATTTACTTTTTCCTAAGACTGAAAGAAAGAGCAGGATGTTAAAACTAAATCTTTTTTAAAAATCTCTGTACCCAGATACTTTGAAACAGATGCACATAAATACTACCCAAAAGGAGACTTTCCTTTTTGCAAAGACATGTTATATTTCTATTTATCATCACAACTACAGTTACAAGTTCTACAATCATATACAAGTTACAGATAGTTAATTATATATCTATTAATACATTTATTTTAAAAAACAAGCAAATAAAAATACAATCTTACAATAATTTAAATAAATTCATGATTTTTAAACTATAGTGGTTTTCCCCCTTAGTTGTCAGAATGACTATCTGAAGATATCAGATGAAGAAAATAGGCAAACATATAAAACAATGTTGTGTAACTACTTGATATACTTGTTTATTACCCTCCAAATAAGTGAGGAAGCACATGAATAATATGCTCCTATATATGCTCACAGGCTATCTTCTGTCATATTTATTTCAGAAATGAAATTATGAAAGTTTATTAGTTAAAGATCCTTATATTATCTTCCTACAGTAAGTTTATAAATTGATGCATAAACTGCCATAATTCCTTTGGGTCTTAAAGGAAATATACTATTTCTCCATTCCGGGCTGCTGAGAATAATTTTGTCAATGGCTGTCAAATGGGATCTGTGTTGAAGACAAACACTAAATTTTCTCTCTATTGCCATTGGTGGTGGTGTTTCTCTCTCTCTTTTATAGACATTTAATGTTCCTTGTGGCCAAATTTCAGGGAAAGCATGACCTGAGATCCCTTTGTGAGACATGTTTTTATGATTTCATCACCCTGGGCCCCAGAAAGCTTCCTTCTCTGTTGTCATACCATCCTTGAACTCCCTGAAGCCTTATCCTTGGCAAGGGTCAAAGTACTCTCTCCCAAGAGTAAAGGAAGAAAGAACAAAGAAATTATGAGATGAATTAGCAATATTTCTAAAGTAATTGAAGGAAAACATTCTAGATGGCTTCGTTAGCTGCCACTCTCCATTACACTTACTTTTAAAAATAACATTGAAAAATGGTATCCTACACTATTCAGCCATTACAAATATATACTATCAAATAAAGTATCATTTTTATTACAGTATAATAAATGTGCAAAAAATTATATA